ATTGATTCATATTATTAGAAATTCCTGTAAAAATAAAAAATAAAGCTGATTGATTTGTATTTCCTATTTTTCATTAATACCCTCCTATTATCTATCTTGTCTCTCACACACAAATGAGAAGACAGTTTTTAATTCTGAAAAAAAAAAGACCTTTAACACCATCTGTGTCTTCAGATAAGGAATATTTTCTTCCAATTTTAAAAATTAATTAAATCATTTCTAAATATATTTTCACCACCTGATAGGCTTCCTTTACATCATGTACACGCAAAAGATTAGCCCCATTTAATAAGGCTGCCATATGGGCAGCAGAAGTGGCGTTGAGAGATTCTTCTGGAGTTGTTTCCAATAATTTATATAGCATGGATTTTCTTGAAATACCCACCATTAAAGGTAATTCGTGAAGTGATAAGAGATTAAGGTTTTTTAATAAGGTGTAATTATGAGAAAGTGTTTTACCAAACCCAAACCCTGGGTCTAAAATAATATCATTTATTTTTAAAGCATTAAGTTGAGCTATTTTTTGTGAAAAAAAATAATTAATCTCTGTTAGCACATTTTCATACACAGGGTTGTCCTGCATATTTAATATGGAACCCTTTATGTGAGAAAGAATATAAGGGACTTGTAATTGAGCAACCGTTTCAAACATTTTATTATCTATGCTTCCAGCAGAAATATCGTTAATTAAACAAGCTCCCATATTTATTGCCTCCTTGGCAACTTTTGAATAATACGTATCAATTGATATTAACGCTTTGGGAAAGTATTTTATAATCTGTTCCAAAATGGGTATAACTCTTTGCAATTCTTTTTCTGGAGATATTTGTGTTGCATAAGGTCTGGTAGAAGACCCTCCCACATCAATAAAGGTGGCCCCTTCTTGCAGCATTTTTTCTACTTGTAAAAGCGCTTTTTTTTGCTCTAGATACTTTCCTCCATCATAAAAAGAATCTGGTGTGAGATTCAAAATGCCCATCAATCTAGGTTGATAAAAACTAACCCATTCTCCTTTACAATTTATATTCATAAGAGTAAAAATAATACAAAACTAAATATTACCTTTGAACTTGGTATGGAAAAAACCTTAAAACAATTTGATTTTGTCATTGGTCAGTGTCGTACTCTTTTTTTTACCAAAATGAAAGATTATGGTGCGGCTTGGCGTATTTTAAGAACTTCTTCTTTAACTGAGCAAATTTTTATAAAAGCAACTAGAATTAGAAGTCTTCAACAAAATAAAGAACAAAAAATTGAAGAAGGTCAAGAAATAGAATTCATTGGCATCATTAATTATGCTGTAATGGCGCTTATTCAATTAGAAAAAGGCGTGGCTAATGAGCCGGATTTGTTACCAGAAGAAGCTTTAGAACTATATGACCAACACATTCAA